TAAGTAATTGTGTGGGTTCCAGTTAACGTAGTTGTTGGTTAATCTTGCTTGTAATAATGATAATAATGTGTATTCTCACATAAACATGCAAACATACACGAAAATGCATGCCAATTTTACAGGCGAGATCAAGTATGATATAATATCAAACCGACCTTACCTTCAGTTCATACTACCTACATTGAACCCTAACTATAGTGTTCTGCTGAATCTTGATCCACTATTCACAAAACCTATTCTTTTTGCTCTTTAAGTTTTTAATTTCTAATAAAGTAATCTGTTCATTGGGACGCATGCACACATATATAATATGTTCATAAAGATGTACGTGGAGACCTATTGGAAGCACTCATTAAGAAGGCTAGGGAGATGGAATATGAGGTGCGAACATGTCTGGTACCAAGCAATATATTTGCGGTAGCCATAATAATCATAGTCTCAGAGCCTAACATCATAAAGGGAGGGAGGGTGGTGCTAGCTGATCGATAGATATGGTGGTGGTCACTAAGGTGAATCGCCCCATACTGCAGGAACAGCAATATGCAATTTGACGGCTCGAGATATTTCTGATTTTCATGAGGGCTCAGATCTTTATCTTGAAAAAGATAATAATGAACGCCTAGACAGATCATGCTTCTGCCTTTAAACATACACCATTCGCTCAGCCTATTGTTGAGATGCGACCATGTGGGCTCTGCACAGATTTATGGGGCATCTTATAAATCAACTTGCTGTCCATTGACGGATCTTTAAATACCACTTCACAATGTCTTATCTCATTCATTTTCTAATAACGTCTTTCCTCGGTCCTCCTTATATTCCATTAAGCCTAACATTTTATAGCTCTTTATGAATTTGATTCGACTTATTTTATTCCTATTCTCTGTAGGGTACGGTTGTGCACCAAATGCACATAAAGATATAAAATAAAAACAACCGGCATGAGGATAAGTGTATTAAAACCAAAAGTGGATGTCAGTCTCGTCTCGTAAACCGTTAATGTCCAGCTCTTGCTACGCTGGGACTCACGCTGTTCCTCGAAGCTTCTCAGAAACGCTTGGTACGAACGGACGCAAAAACCAGAACCCAGTTTGGCGATTCGAGAATTATTTATTCTAACACCAACATATAACCAATATTACAACTAAGGCCTATGAACAAATATTACGATAATAAATCACAATATCACTTCTGACGGTTTTCTCCTGACTTCCTTCTGAACAGCGACCGATGAGACGATGACTGTCGCATTGATGCCTTCGCGAAAATTGGGGAAGTTGGGTTTGAGCAAACAACCAAGAATTGATCGTTCAATCTTCAACTACATTGACAGTGGACATCATGATGGTACGAACTATATAGGTAGCATTATACATTGCAAATGAACGTTGTCAGCCTAGGGAGTTTCCTTTATTAATGCATTTACTAATGATACTTGCACTTACCTATTTCATTACACTTTATTGACTCACCTTACCACTTTTACTTTTCTAAAACAGCTTTCAATCCCTTGTAAAGGTTGTACTTACCTCAATATTGGTTGGTTATCGTATGCCGACAACCACGGGATGAAAACGAAACGAAGTCGATTTTCCTGCGATACCTGGAGGACAACTATACAATTCAATAAATATACGGCCTGGTTCAGACAATGAGTATGTATATATCAAATATTTAACTGTTGATACATTAACTTGTAGACAATCTACGATTTGATATTATATCATACTTGATCGTGCCTGTAAAAATGGCATAAGTGTTTTTATTACAAGTTGATGAACTTATGGGTGCCTCAGAAGCTGTCGTTGTGCGATCTTTAGAAGTTTGTCTGTTTGCAAGATTACCACCAATGTTGTCTTTTATTATTAGCTCCAGTGTAGCATTAACATCTGTTGATGGTTGGGGTATACGCTGATCATTTTTACTGACGGTTTCACCAGTATCCACACCTTTTGCCACCCCATCTTCTTTTAAGTCTACTTCACACTCAATCTGTACAGAACCTTTGTTCAGCTCAGCAGTAATAGGCATTCCCCTCATCTCATCATGATCAAACAAAAACAAAAGTGCACCATCATGATAATTCTCACAAATATTCATTTTACCGTCGTCTATCTGGTCAACTTAATCATTTCGAAACTCTTTAATAATGGCAGTAGATGATTTAGGTTCCTCTTTATAAATCCCTAAAGGTTCTATACCTTTACCCTGACTAGTAATATCTTGTAAACTTGTGGAGTCAGAACTGGACTCTGAAACTGTAACTCTCTTCTTCTGCAAAAACTGTGGTGTCGTCTGTGACACTCTATTCAACAATGGCTTACCAGTTGCAACTACAGGCTTCTTCACTCCACCATTATCGTCACACAATTCGTAGTCAGAGCTCGATGACGCTGATTTCACATTTAGCTTACCACTAAACTTGCTCACTTCTTCACAGTTCGCCTTTGTGTGCACTTCTTGCAGACGTGTAAAACACAACTGTGTTTATCTCGCAACTTGTAACCTATCTGTTGGGGATGTACCATGAAAGCTGTTACGCTCACTAAGTTTATTTGGATTACTAGACACCATAAAGCTTTCTCGATTTGCACTTCTCTGAAACCATTTCATCATAAATGACTGCGTTTCGCTCTCAGACTGCTCTATTCTAGGAGTGAGATGCAATATGCTGGCAAACTTGCTCATAGCTTGATTCACACCATCTTTTACCAGTTTCAGATTATCATCGAACTTTGGCTCAATACCTTCATCCTCTTTGCGAGAGCTTATCCTCACCCACTTCCTTTGCGTTCGAGTTGTTAGGCGTCTCGCTATTACCTCTAGGACGGAACTTGAGTTCAGATCGCTCATGCAATTCATCGAAATCAAAGTATTCCTGCAAGTCATCAGACTATCCAAAAACTCGGATAGTGCCTTGGAGTCATCTCGTAATTGACTACCATTACTTTTAACAGCCTCGAATAAATTCCCCACAATCATCCAGGGTCTTCCGAATCTTTGACGCAGTATACTCATAGCCTCAGAGTATCCCTCGTTTGGCTTCATAAAATTACAACACTGAATAGTTCTTGAAGCAACTCCAGTACAATACTTCAACAAATACATCAACTTCATTTCGTCATTTATTGCAAGCCCACTCAACATGATTTCAAACTCCTTTCAAACTGTGGATAGTCAGCTGGGTTTCCGTCGAAACATCGAGGCTCATATTTTGGTAGTTTAAAGTTCCTATTATCCCTAGACGAAGAAACATTGATATCAATCTTATCATGCTTAACATCACACTCATCATTACATGTAACAGACAACTCAACATTGCTTACTTTCCTGCTCGCTTCCAAGATGCTTTGTCCCTTCTCAGACACTGGCATCACTGAACTTAACCAAAAATTCCAGATAAGTTCCAGATAATACTTGTCCAAAGAAGACTTTCAGACGCCAGGAAAGCCGAACAGAAACTATCAGAAACTGTCAGCCAACTCTCGGAAACTGTCAATCTCCTGCCAGCGAGCAACCTTGTCTTCGTGTTCGCAAAATGTTTGGACCCAATGCAGGGCACGATGATCAGTGCGTGCTCAAAATGGGCGTCCGAGAATTGTTTGAGCAGACGGACGAGGGTCAGCATCTCTCGGCGCATCGTGGAATACCTGGATTCACGTATGCCCAGCTTACGGCTAGCATATGTATAATGTATAATGTATACCTATATAGTTCGTACCATCATGATGTCCACTGTCAATGTAGTTGAAGATTGAACGATCAATTCTTGGTTGTTTGCTCAAACCCAACTTCCCCAATTTTCGCGAAGGCATCAATACGACAGTCATCGTCTCATCGGTCGCTGTTCAGAAGGAAGTCAGGAGAAAACCGTCAGAAGTGATATTGTGATTTATTATCGTAATATTTGTTCATAGGCCTTAGTTGTAATATTGGTTATATGTTGGTGTTAGAATAAATAATTCTCGAATCGCCAAACTGGGTTCTGGTTTTTGCGTCCGTTCGTACCAAGCGTTTCTGAGAAGCTTCGAGGAACAGCGTGAGTCCCAGCGTAGCAAGAGCTGGACATTAACGGTTTACGAGACGAGACTATAAAATAATAAATAAATAAATTTATTCTCATGATACAGTACATGAGGGACGCCAGTTTACAGGCATCATCATATTTTTACAGAAATAGGACAATATTATTCAGTCACATTTTACAATCGATGACAAAATATGTTTAACATGTACACTGGAGATTATACATACACTTGATAAATGTTAATCCCAATAGTATAAAACATCCTTTTCACTTATGTACAATCATTTCTGTGCATAGTTGGAAAAATCCGCTAGATTGTCAGTGAGTGCAACATATCAGGTAATACAGAAGTATTGTCTTCGCATTAACAAAAAAACCAGGTCTTTGGTGGATGGGTTATAAGAGCCTGGGAAAAAAATAAAGCTTGAAGTCAGTTTTCGTACAATACTTTGTTGTGTGCAGAGTCCTTGAATTATAGTTCATTGATGTGTTATTTTGAAATCAGTGATATGTTTATCTCATTTGATCTGCAATGTCATTGTTGGGAGTAAAATACATAAGCTTTAGACGCATTAATTAATGGATTTCTACTGCTTGTGGGTATTTACTTCTCGTGAGGAAGGTTTTTGAATTTTAGTTGTTACGACAGGAGTTGTGGATATTGACTGCTCAGCAACATTACGGATATAAGTTCATCACATTATCTCAGGAATGTTGGGTTGTAGTTGGTGAGGCATATATGATGTCCGACGAGCGTACATCTGTCCATGTGATGTTGTGGTGAGTTCTATCTTTTTCACGTTGTCGGTTTATGTCCATTTTATTCCACTTATTGTGTTGGGTAGAAGTTTTACAAACGAAACTTCTTGTCTTTTTGAGGGTAAGTATCTTAATCGTTAATGTTTTATCTAAAATTATAAATATAGGCAAAAACAACAGGTGTAGTATTTGAGCTTATACATTAAATGGACCTATAATTTCGGAGGCTCTCAGATAGGAACTAGGACTACTGTCGTTTGCAAACTCGTGTAGTTTGTCGTTAAGCACTTTTTTGAGTGAGGCCAATGTACCTGCTTGACGCATTTCCATTGGTAGTTTATTCCATATCTGTGCATACCTAATCAAATAAAACTTTTGCCTGGTAGCTGTTTTACATTGTTCGATAGCTACTGTACCCTTAGTGTGTCTTAGTTTGTAGCCACTGTCATCTGAAAGTCGAATGCCATTAGTAGAGGTAAAAACTAAGTGGTTTAGAAGCTTATAGTAAAGTGTTAAGTTTAGTCTCAGGCGTCTTAGCCATAGTGTTTCTAATCCTAGGGTGTCACATCTAGTGGAGTAGTTCGCACCATTTTCGGTTCCGAGTAATTTTGACGTGAAGTACCTCTGCACTCCCTCGACTTTCAATTTGTCCTCAATGCGTATACTACTATACATGAATGAACAGTAATCAAATAAAGGACGCACACAAACCTTGTACAACAGAATTCTGGACTCATTTCTGTAAAAGTTCCTGAGTAGAAAGCCGATAAGTCTGCGTGACTTTGACACTTGTTTGGAGATATGTTCAGAAAATGATAAGTCATGTGAGTATTTCAGTCCTAGGTCCAATACAGATTCCAGTCGTAAAAGTGCATGGCCTTGAATTGTCAGGTCAAGTTCTAAATTGTTGCAACCTATGCAGAGCCAGCCACATTTGTCGACATTAAACTGGAGTTGCCAGGTGTCACACCATCTGTCCATTTTTTCTAATTCTTGCTGTATGGCGTTTACTGTTATTCCGAGATCTGTGTTCTTGCATTTATAGGTCACTTTTAAGTCATCTGCATATAGTATTGGTTTACCAACACTAAAGCATTCACAGATACTGTTTATATATATTATGAATAGGAGTGGGCCTAATACACTTCCCTGGATTACACCACTACTTACTGGTTTAGGCCTTGACATTATCGAGCCAACTTTCGTTATCTGACTTCGGCCACAGAGAAATGATTTTATCCAGCTCAGGAGAGGGTCACATATCCCTAGTGAGCATAACCTGCTGACTAGCAGATTATGGGGGATTCTATCGAAGGCTTTTGTTATATCGAAATATAGCACAATTACTAGTTCTCTGTTGTCCCTGCTTCGTGTAACTTCGTTGAAAAAGTCTATGTGACAGGTCACACATGATCTCTTTTTGAGGAATCCGTGTTGTGATGGATTGATAAGTTCATGTTCTAGTAAGTTGTCTGACACTTGGTCTTTAACCACTTTCTCCATTATTCGTGATATTACCGGTGTTATATTAATAGGTCTATAGTTGCATGCACTGGTTTTGGCCCCTGCTTTGTGCTTAGGTAATATGTATGTGGTTTTCCACACTTCAGGATAAGTTCCAGTTTCCAGTGACAGAGTAAATATTCTAAGTAACAAGACTACCATTTCCGTGCTACCATTTTTGTATATGACAGATGGTATGTCGTCTGTTCCAGTACTGCCATTTGACTTCAATGTCTTAATCGCTGAGTCTATATTTTGTATATTAAAATCTATTTCTCCTAATTTGTGGTTACTTTTGCAGGTCATTTGGAAATTTGGGGTCGGGTGCACTCTGGTGTCATTGCAAAACCACTCACTGAGGAGTTCACTTATAACCTGGGGATCGTTGTATATTATACCCTTATGTTCCAAGATGCTTACTTTTAACAGCCTCGAATAAATTCCCCACAATCATCCAGGGTCTTCCGAATCTTTGACGCAGTATACTCATAGCCTCAGAGTATCCCTCGTTTGGCTTCATAAAATTACAACACTGAATAGTTCTTGAAGCAACTCCAGTACAATACTTCAACAAATACATCAACTTCATTTCGTCATTTATTGCAAGCCCACTCAACATGATTTCAAACTCCTTTCAAACTGTGGATAGTCAGCTGGGTTTCCGTCGAAACATCGAGGCTCATATTTTGGTAGTTTAAAGTTCCTATTATCCCTAGACGAAGAAACATTGATATCAATCTTATCATGCTTAACATCACACTCATCATTACATGTAACAGACAACTCAACATTGCTTACTTTCCTGCTCGCTTCCAAGATGCTTTGTCCCTTCTCAGACACTGGCATCACTGAACTTAACCAAAAATTCCAGATAAGTTCCAGATAATACTTGTCCAAAGAAGACTTTCAGACGCCAGGAAAGCCGAACAGAAACTATCAGAAACTGTCAGCCAACTCTCGGAAACTGTCAATCTCCTGCCAGCGAGCAACCTTGTCTTCGTGTTCGCAAAATGTTTGGACCCAATGCAGGGCACGATGATCAGTGCGTGCTCAAAATGGGCGTCCGAGAATTGTTTGAGCAGACGGACGAGGGTCAGCATCTCTCGGCGCAACGTGGAATACCTGGATTCACGTATGCCCAGCTTACGGCTAGCATATGCAATAACCTGTTCTTGACCATCAGGCGCCACTTGGGAGAGAAGAGCACCAATGTCAGTAGCACTTGCATCAGTATCTAAAATGAAGGAGCCAGCAGATGCAGACGTGTCAGGAAATGCAAGGTGATGACGTGAGGCGTTTCTTCAACTCGTTATAGGCATTTTGACACTCACCAGTCCACAAAAATTTTCGACCCTGTTCCGTCAAGCGATGCAGGAGTGATGCTAGGGTGGCGAGTTTTCGCCGGATCTGTCTGGATGCCATCTGGTGAAATTCGGTGACCCAAGAAAATAACTTCTTGCTGAAGAAAGGTACACTTAAACGGTTTCAAATTTAAGCCAGCAGTTCGTAAGCGTTTGAAAACAGTGCGTAGGTTATCTGTATACTCCTCGGCGGATATTCCGTGGACAACGATATCGTCAAGATGGATTCAACATTGGTGTGGGACTAACCTATCCAGTACAACTTGCATCAGCAGTTGAAAAGTGGCGGGGGCATTACACAAACCGAAAGGCATTGTGCGAAATTCGTACAACCTAGTCAGGGTTATAAAAGCAGTCTTTGGGCAGTCGTCCGGGCGTACTTTAACTCGCCAGTACCCAGATGCTAAATCTAACGTGGAAAACCATTTTGAGCCACTCAGTGCGTCGAGAGTAGAGTCAATGAGAGGGTTCGGGAAGGGGTCAGGACCAGTCACGGCGTTCAGTCTGCGATAGTCGATGCATATACGGAGAGATGCATCTTTCTTCTTAACACAAGAGGTGACGCCCATGAAAACTAGGAGGGTATGACAATCTTCTTGTCTAGCAAGTCCTGTGACAAACCTTCTAGCTGGGGCTGATAATGAACAGGGATGCGTCTGGGTAGCTGGCGCACCGGTGAGCGGCCACCAGTGTTAATACAGTACTGCGCAATATTAGTGCATCAAGAGCTGTCCACCTCGTCAAAGACGTCGAAAACGTCCCCAAGCAACGATAGCATTTTGTCCCGGACGGTCCCTGGGGTGGATGGATTGAGTGAGACTTGATTATAATATATATTTCTTCCTGTTTATGCAGGAACATACCAATTGTACAGGCATGGAGAAGTTATTATATAAATTACACAAATTGATGTATGATGAATTTACAGTTTGGTTGTTCTTTCTGACATCAAAGTCAGTCGTAACAGTCTGCTATAAAGTCTGTTTGTGTAGCACATAAAGAGATATAGAAATATTGTCTTCGCATTAAAAAAAACCCAGACATCAGATGAATGTAATGCGGATTCTGGGAAAAAAAGCTTGAAGTCAATCCTCTTACATAACTTTGTTGTGAACAGCACCCTCGGCTCAAAGTTTATTGATGTATTATGTTGAGATCAGTGATATATTTATTCCATTTTTTCAGTAGTCTTATCGTAGTTTTATAACAGGAAAGAAATTTGATCGTGGATGCGAAAACTAGATGAGGTCATGTGAAGTTGTTTTACTGCATCAAATGGTGTCGAGGTCGATTCCAGAATTCTCCATTTGCTCCATTTGTGTCTGCATGGCGGACTGCATTCGTAAGTTCAGAAAAATGTTGAAAACTGTTTGAAAACCAGTTGCTTCTTCATTTCAGATCATGAATACTCATTTACAGCATGTTCGCCAGCGTCTTCAAATGGTAGAATTGGATCGTTCATGGAATTTGGGTGGTTATGAGGTAGATGGTTTGGAATTAATCCTCATTTCAGTTTAGATGCAGGGTTGTTCGACCTCGACCAGAAGATGAATAGGAGTATCAGAGTACCAAAAAGAGAAAGTATGTGAACATTAAAAGGACATTAATGTATATATGTAATTGTTTATGTCAATTGTGTAATAAATTATTAAGAAATTATTTTCAGTTATAGTTCTTTTTTTTACGTATTTATGCGAAGTCTTAGAGTCTATTTAGTGTCATGATGTGTATTAATGAGTCTGAGCGTTTTAGTGTTCTAATGACTGATGCGTTTTAGAAGTAAGTAATGAGTTCTGGTAGGGATAGACTTTGGGATAAAACAGTTTATATAGCAAGCGTTTGAAGGTTACAATAAAGTGACACGTCCTATTTCTAGGGGTAAACTAATCCTGTATGTTCCGTACTAAGTCTTTATGCATCCATGCTGCTAGTTTATTTATAGTTTTTAGATTGCTAAGGGTGTTGAAGTGCGTCTTTTAGGTGCTGTAGTAGATTAGTAGTTGATTCGTTCTAGGAGTAAATAGTTTATTAATATAATCAGTAGAGTGAAACAGTCTGTATAGAGAGCGTTTGAAGCTTGTAACCGAAGAGCAAGTTCTGACATCTAGGGGCAGGCTATTCCATATTTTAGAATACATGACTGTGAAGAAGTTTTCACGGAGTGTTGACCTAAAAGAATGAGTTGTCACTGTGGAAGTTTGGTTACGCAGATCGTAAGAACCTTCCTGTGCGAATTGTATGTCCCTGTTACCTGAGAATGATATTTTGTGAAGGACCTTAAAGAAGAATATTAGGTTTATAATAAGTCGCCTTGTCCAAAGTGGGTCAAGTTTTAGGATCATGCACCGTGAGGTGTAGTCTTTCTTACAATCATAGCCAAGTAGTTTTGAGGTAAAATATCGTTGGATACTTTCCATCCTTAGCTTATCACGTGTGCGAGTGCTGCTTATAATAAATGGACAGTATTCTAGTAGTGGTCTGACACATGTTTTGTACAGAATTAGCTTGGCTTCATTGTCGTGGAAGTTCCTGAGTATGCATCCTAAGAGCATCCTCGATTTTCTAGTCTGTGATGCTACTTGCTCAGAGAATGTCAAGTCACTAGAGTACCTCAGGCCTAGGTCAACGACACTTCGGAGTCTGGTTAGGTTAGCGGATTGAAGCGTTAATTTCAGGTCAATTGAGGGTGCACCGAAGCAGATCCAGCCACATTTTTTCAGATTGAATTGGAGGTTCCATAGGGACGACCAAGCAGTCATTTTATCTAATTCCTTCTGCACTACATTCTCGAAGTTCCCTAAGTCATCACTTTGGAATGTATAGGCTACTTTTAGGTCATCTGCAAAGATGAATGGCTTCCCATGCGTGAAGCAAGCGCATATGTCATTGATGTATAGTGTAAATAGGAGGGGTCCAATGACACTACCTTGTACTACACCAGAAGTGATAGGGCTAGGTTTGGAGGTTGCAGACCCGAGTTTAACTATTTGGGACCTGTTGTTAAGGAATGATTTAAGCCATCCTAATAATGGGTCACGTATTCCTAAGGAGTTCAGCTTATTTGTTAGCAGTATATGGTCAACACGGTCAAATGCCTTAGAAATGTCAAAGTAGATGACGAGTACTAGTTGCCGTCTGTCACGACTGCTGGTTACAAAATTGAAGAAGTCTAGGTGACATGTTAAGCATGATCTGGATTTCAGGAATCCATGTTGGTTTGGACTTATAATATTCCAGGAAAAGAAGAAACGGTGAGAATGAAGCTTAATAAGAGGTGGTTGCTGAGAGCTGTCTAGACATATCGACGTTGTATCGAGGGTGACCTGGTTGTGGGAAAGGCCTATGACAGCGGAATGTGCTGTAAGAAAACCAACGCCAAGGATCAGGTCGCATGTGATTTTGGGCAAATGAGAAAACGGTGGTAGAATAATAGGTTCCCTAGATGCAGCTGTAGGTTGGTGGCTGCTTGGGCATCTATCTTAGCGCCTTTCGCCGTTGTTAGCACAGTGTGAGTGAGGACAGGGGGTGGATAGAGGGTCAACCGGTGACGAAGGGATGTCTGTACTAGGAACGCTGATGCCCCAGTATCCAGCAAGATCTTAGCTTGCACACCATTGACAAGTCCCCAAACAGTGGGGGGTTCCTCATTACATGAAAAAGTAGACAAATTGTGGAAAAGTGACTTACCGCAGAAT